ATCAAATTTTTGATAATCGATTTTAATCTTTGATTAAAAGTTAGTTGATGAAAAGAAAACAAATTATATTTTTAGCAGTAGGAATAAGAACAATGATCGGCGAATAAGTAATTGGTAACAAATCGTACCAGAATAGAACGTATTAATAAATAAAATAAGACTTGTTGGATATATATACGTAATTATATAGATATAATTACGTAGATAATTATATTTGGAATTTGGAGCAATGAATAAATAGAAATTCTAATTACTATTACAAAAAATAAATGCGATTAAAATGGATACGTGTAATTATATAGAGTTATACGAAAAAAGAAACGAAAAACGAGAAAAAAATATATGAAAAACGAATATTTTACAAAAAAAGAAGTAAAAGAAAACGAGAGAACTGAACTTTTTAGATAAAGTTTCATAAAAAAAAAAAAAAAAAAAAAACTATATACTTAATATACATAGAGATTGCAATATATGCAAGAAATATGGAGCACAAGTGTGTATACCTATATGAATGTTTAGAAAAAACTTAAGAGAGAACTCGATGGATAAATTAGCACAGTTTCACGCGTTCCCGTGTCCCGCTAACTTTCGCACCGAAAAGCGCGTCTTGCCAAGAAAGCGTGAGAAGCAGATATGAAACAGAGAATTCTTGTTTCAGATTTTTTTCATAACCTAGTTTGGCGTATTAGCAACTTGTGCTATTTTAGATCATTATACACCTTCGAAAGTGGTCTCTTCCTTCTCCTTTATTTCACAACACCATGCAAATGATGCATTCTTTCAAGGACTTCCAATATTTCTATGAATATTCAGACGCATACTCTAAAACTCTGTACTTCTATTATTATATCCTTTATATTACACATTTTTGTAAAATTCATTATAAGAAGTAATTGTTTGAAGTAATAAATTATCTCTTTATTTCTTGGAATTTATATACAACATATTTTTGAAATTTATTTCTAATATTATATAAGTAAATTTAATTACGGTTTTTAATATGCATTAATATGCGTATAATATTTATATATTCATTTGTTTTATATTTTTTATTTATTTGTAAAATAATTATCTGAAAATATAAATTTAAATATTCATAGATTTAAAAAAAAAAGATGAAAAGAAAAATTCTTTAAAATACGTATTAAAAATGAATGAAGAATATATAGCGTAGCACTTTTGATATAAAATAGTCGATAAAAATCCCAAAATATCAATCTTGAATTTTCCCTTAATTTTAACATAGTAACCAGAAGAACAGTTTATTATTACTTTGCATGGTACACCCTTCACGAGATAATTTCAAGAGAACAAATAACAAAGTACAATAAGCTAGATTGCATTCTTCGATCTTTCTATACTATAATAATTTGGCCTTAAATAAAGCTGTAATTATATTCCCGAAAAATAATATCAAATAACATTGGAGATTTGTTAAAATTTTTTGATTCAAAAATTATACAAATGTTTTTTTAATGTTTAATAATTTTCAGTAAATTCAATTTATTTTATTATAAGAGATAAAAAAATGCCTTTCATAATATACTTTATAATAATTTCTAAATATAACATTCTAAAATCAAATATAAAGAGACACTGTACATTTATCATATAATTTGCAAAAATAGAAAGCATTTCTTGGAAATTACAGACTTGCTTATATAGTTGGTGCAAAATTGGTCAAGTTGGCCAATTGATCCGGGCTCCATGCGTTATTTATACCTATCTTGGTAATGATTAGTTCAATAGGAACTTCCTCCGTATTACCTGTGACCTCTTTTGTTCCAGTTCCACCATTTTACTATTGGAACAAGCGCTCATTATAAATGAATTACTACGATTCTTCGTATGGGAATACAATCTAGAAAATCATTCCGAAGGGTAATTTCTGTCCAACTTTGAACAAAAAAATGATTTTATTTACTCTGTGAATTGAATTCTTAAAAAATATAGAAGAATCGCGAAAAACTTAAATAAAGATCATTATGAATAACTTTATTTTTTACAGGATTTCCTAATTGAAAATATTCCATGAAATTTTTTTTATAATATTATGTATACACATAGTATATATAAATATATATAAATATATATAATTATATATAAATATATATAAATTGTGTTTTATATATTTAAATTATATTTTATTATTAAAAGTGAATTATATTTTTCAAAAAGAATTAAAAAATTATATAATATACGGACAATTTATAAAAGATATAAAAAAAATATTAAAAACAATATATTCTATTAATGCTACAATCAGAACAGAGTATGAGTTTGAAATCACGACTCAGAATCAAAGTATCCACAACCGAGTACCGGAAGTGGAGGCGTCAGTAACATTCGACAATTGCAACTGATAAATTACATAAAGCACAATTCTCTATTAGCATGTCTAAAAATAACTTTTCCAATCCACAAAGATTAACCAGACAAAACCATATCATTTTATTAAATCGATTTTAACATAATTATATAATTATGGTTTGAAAATATATTTTCTCATTTTTTTCTTACATAAAAAGTTATTCGAAATTACAAGCATGACATACGAACCTCGAAAACGCTAATTTATCAGAGAAAAATAAACAGAGATAAAAATCGGATAAAAAAAATTTCGATCTTCTAAAATCTGCTTTTCAAAGTCTCCATGTGTGAGTTCCTCTTCAGGGAAAAATGTTATATGTTCAACAGATGTCGAGGGGAGACTCCAGTGACAGTGGTAGATAAAAAAAGATATCACTATAACAACGATTAAAAGAGAGAGAAAAAGGTAATTTCCAAAAAGTAACGGCTACCCTGAAATGAAATTCCATTCGTTTCGAAGGCGCTACAGAAAAGTTTCTGAATTCTTTTATTCTCTAACTATACACATAATATATATGTATAAGAACATTGATTTTAATTTCATTATATAAAAATGGTTCGTTTCTTTTAAAAAAGAATTATAATTATAAATTTGAAAAATTATAATTGTATAATTGTATATTCTGTTATATAATAATTATTTTTAAAAAATTGAAGGTGAAATTATTCATTTCAAGTTATTATCTAAAAATATTTTAATGAAGGATATGATGAATTATGAAGTATTTTCTAACAAAATTCATATTTCATATTCACGTATAATACCATCCTACAATGTATTATCTATTATTATTTAATTATTATTCAAATAAAATTTTATACAACTATATGGAAGAAAACAATAACGCCATCTACTTGTTTTCAAGAAGGTCTACAATAAGACGTCCTGATTATTTATCATTTGTTTCACGACCCGCGACCAATATTGCCCTCTCTGCACCATGCTGTTGGCGATATAAATAAATCGATGCAAAAACGTGTATAAACAGAGAGATAAGTAACTGTGTAATGTGACTATCCCGAAAGAAAAAAAAGAAACTACTATCTCCGTCTTTTCTTGAGTACAAGAAGATCGTCATCCAAAACATGTTAAATATGTTGGCGCCTAAAAATACGACAATTCTTCATAGCATATTAAAGATATTGTTTAATATAACATGATATCGATATTGTATTTGTCGAGAAGCAATGCAATACATGGTATGAAGCAACGATTAATAATCGACGCGTCAATCTCATCGAGTGAATAGTCCCGTTGCGTACGTTCGAAGTTCGAAGGGGTCTGCTACGCGTCCTTTCCATCCCCATTGAAAACAGAAACGCGCAGGATCAAACCACGACGCACACGGGGGCATTTTGCCTCTGTTCAAGTTGGAAGCCCTCCAATAGGCTCTCCGGCTCGCCCCCCACGCGAGACGCAGAAACCCGTTTTAAAAGTCCGTAGAGGAATGCATGCCGCCGGGCCTTTCACCTCTTTCGCGAGAAAATGTATTTTCATGCTTTTCGATCGTGTGCACCCGTCATCCGGCTGCTTACTCTCGTGGCGGATATAAAATTTTTACGATGGAAACCATAGCTACGCGCAATAAGAGAAATCGTTGATTAATTATTTTTTTTTTTTTTGAAACGTTGGAAATTGGAACATGATCTTAACGAGATCATCGATATTTTATTTACAGAAAGTTTGATGAAATATATATATATATATATCGAACTGAAATCTAACGATAAAAGATTACCAAGTTCGAAACATAACAGGTTTGATGTTCTGGTGGATTAAGCTGACGTGTATACATATCGTATAATGGGAATGAGATTCTTATATGTTTAGCTATTACATGCACGATTACATGCTTAAGTCTTGCCACCATCAAAAGAGACGTGGGTACATTATCGCTGCTTGTTTAAAAGCTTGAGTGTAAACATTATAAGGTTTCTATAAATATTTGTATCTGAAATTCAAGGTAAGCTACTAGATTACTTTAACCCTCTATGGCATAAAAATCAAAAAGTTCTATAGTAAAATTTTAAATACATTGATAAATGATAAATTAACTTAAGTAAAATCTCATGCATTTAACTTTCTAATAATTCGAAAAAACATGCAAATATCTTTCTCAAGTTTTCAGTCAAGAGAAATCGATATTGTGGAGGTATACAAAAATTCTTGAATCATGAGTGAATGATCTGTCAATATTGTAACAAGAATAAATTTACAATCGAAGTAAAATCCCGATTGCGCAGAAAGTAACGAAAATCGATCGAAAATTATGTTGAAAGCGCATTTAAACATTGCTTTGAGCACACAAAGGTTGACAAGAGTCGCCATTTTGAAATAATCGGTAAAGGATTCATCTTTTATATCTTATTTAAATATATCACGCTTGACGGTTTGATAGAATTGTATATATTCGAATCTTAATATAAGGAATACATTGAAACTTAACTCAACCGGCTTGTAAACGAAAAGTCAAAAGGACGCGTTCTTGGATATACCAAGAAGAAACATGACGCCTAGAGTTCAACCTTGGGAACATTGTACTCACATCGATCTTGTTTTGTCTGTGTTATAAATTTCGAAATTCAAATGATTCTTATCAAGGAAGATATAATAATACACACACACTTACCTCATATTTAATACCGTTGAGTCGCAACCATGTTTCTACCTTGAGACAATAAGGTGAGATGGAGGGCAGAAGCGGTATTCGAGAGAACTGATATAGATAAACAACATCCTTCTCGTAGTTGGTTTTATGCACGCTGATAGCTTTGGTCGGTGCCGAGGATGGCGTAGCAGCCGCGGCGTCAGCGGTCTCTTCTTTTTTACTTTCTTCCTTTTTCGCCGCATCCTTCTCCTCTTGCTTATTGTCCGGCGGCGTTTCGTCCTTCAATGCTTCTTTCATCTCTTTCACATCTTTTATCTCTTTGCTTTCCGGCCCGGTATTCTCTGTTTCCGTTGCCATCGTCATTTTGATTATTTTTCACAAGTTCGACCGATTTTAATGAAAACGAGAAAACGCTTTATACGAGCGACCAAGCAAACAAACGTTGACGGACAAGTTCTCGAGCGACACTGGAAGCCTATCTCTCGAAACCAGCGCGCACCACACAAACGTACGCCGGGTACTCGTCGATCCCTCTGCTTGCCGGCCGGTTCCTTCTCGTCGCTGCCCCGTTCTGTCCACGGTTCCTGTTCCCCCAGCTAAAGTTGATGTTGCGCATGCGCAAGCGCCACACCCCACTGCTATCGCCATATTTAATTGGCCCGCCACCCCTGCCCGGTCCGCGTGCCGCTCTTTCTCTCTTTCTCTGTTGATTCTACCTTTCTTTTTTCATCCAAGTCTCTTTGAATCCCTCCTTTCCTCCCGCAAAACCCCCATAAGCAGGTTCGCTTCCACTTCGCTGTGGTTAGTCTCGCCTGGCAACACTGCCGCCATCGCCATCTCAAGAGGGCCGAACAAACTCGCAACTATGTATTTAGGTACCCGGAATGAACTATGAAATACATTGTAATATATGATATATTTTTCTATAATATATATTATTAAATTGTATCTCAATTTTCCTTTATTTATATACATGCTATTAACAGTGATTTTTATAATCATATGATATAAGTAATAAAATATATTTTTGTTTCATTTAATTATTGTTTTAAATTTAGATTAATTCTAATGCCCTCTCGGAAGAAGAACACGGGGCTCCATAGCGTTCTAGTTTCAGACCTGAACCAACCTAGCCAACTGCTCTTCTTATTTGTATAAAACCGGCAACGTCGCACCAGATCGGCGTAACAACGAACCCCTTTTCACGGATTACTTTTTTCCACTCTCTATCCGATAGACTCCATTTGGAAAACTACCTGCCACAACTTGCGCCGCCCATGGGTATAAATTCTCTTCGAATCATACTATGCTTCTTTGCTTTTGTCTTTGCGCTTGATGTTTTATACTTTCCTCTCTTTCTTTCTTAGCTTTCTTCAATGATTGTTTCGTCCTTCTTATTCTTTTGGAATATCGTATTGATTGTTAAATCTATATATGAGATTATTTTTTCTATAAATGAGATTTTTTTTTATAGATATCGTTTCGCTTAAGAATAAATATCAATAAATGTTGCAGAAAGTCAAATCTTTTTGTTTCAAGACGCGAATTAATGATCGAAGGAATAAGAATTGATGTTCCAAATCATTTCAATTATCGATAGAGCATAAAAAAAGAATGCATAAATATCGCAGTTATTGTTTCTTTTATTTTATTTTTTTATTATATTTTATTTTTTTATGAAAATTAAATTTTAACACATATTATTTTTCAATTTTATGGAATTTTTTTTTTTGGCAGTACAATGTTTTAACAAGGAAAGGAGATAACAACTTTAAAAGTGAATAAAAATTTATTTACTCCTGATGTGTGTTATAATATTCCCCACAATGTTTATGACAAATGTTCATATCGTTGTTCATAATGTGCGCGTTATCTGTCGAAAATTTTTGTGTATAACAGGAAAATCACTGACAAACGAACACTCATTTGAGACATAATTAAAATGCATAGTGTATATAGTTACTTCCAAATAATCGAAATTTCTTTATAGAAAGTTATTGCATTGCAAAATATTGAATAAATATATCTGAAGTGTATTTAATAATAGTTTCTTGAAATATAAATGCATAAAAAGAGATAAATAGTAAAATATATACATATTTATCATTCGTGTACTTTTGCGCTAAAAAAAGTTTCATTCGTCTTTTAACATTATTTTTCTTTTTGACTGAAGTTGGCACTATCAATGGCGAAAAATAATCGAATATTAACACTGATCGATCGATACCAACAAATATAATGATATAATAATGATCAATAAAATTCCTCAAATTCATATTTCAATAATCATTATTATTATTATTATTATTATTATTATTATTATTATTATTATTATTATTAAAATAATTAAAATTACAAATATATATATTAAATATTTTTTTTCTAAAAATATAAGTATATATTGTAAATATAAAAGTATACATGTGTATACTTCTAGTAACATTTCTATTAAAATTAGTATACTCAAGATCTAAGAAAAATCATTCTAGAAATTGCACAATTGATTTATAAGATATAGAATTGATAAAAAAATTTTAATTTAATTAAATATTAAATTTAAAAAAAATGTGATTATTAAATTAGATAAAGAATTCTTTAAAATTAAATATTATCTGAAAAAATATTTATTATTTTAAAAAATGCTGATTATTTTATATGTAGAAAAAAATATTTAAAAAATAAATTTCATCATTCATAATAACTAGAAAAAAAAAAAAGAATTTATATCAAAATTGTATTACAGTTCTTTGTATCAAATCTTTTTTTTTTTAATAAGACACTGAAAATTTTACAAGGAATCGATTGATCAATGCTGATACCTCACTGATCGATCTTCGCAAATTGCATTAAGGTTGATCATTATGCTTTAAATCAATGAAATATTTATTAAAAAAAGAAATAAATAAATTTTTCTCTTTTCGATAAAAACATTAAATCAAGCATAAATGCATTTGCTGATCAATTTTTTAAAATAACAAATACTAACGTACACATGTATATATATCATAATTTTATAAGTTTTAATAAAGGAATTGTAGTTAAATCGCTTATACAAATTTTGCATTTTTATGATTTTCTAATTAAATACAATTCATCTTGTGATTTCTTTCCTATTTTTCACATTGTTATTTTTATCAATCATTAGAACAATATTTAGAAGAAGCTTAAAATTAAAAAAATATTCTGCATAAAAATTGATTTTCAGATAATCGCATACCTATATTCGCAGAAAGGATGTGAAAGAATTTTAGATATTTTTTAATGATCACTTTCATTAGCTGTTATACAATTAATCCAGTCGGCTCGAATATTATGAGGCAGTATCGAAATTATTTTTATTACTCTTCTTATTTTAATAGACGAAAGAACATGTTCGATTTCTCTGGCGAAATATCTGAAAAGACGAGAAACTAAACCTTTTCTTACAGTAATAAATTATTGAGCTTGTGCCATTAAGCATTGCTTTAGCGTATTTCTATGATTTGTTTTAAAATTAATTGTTTTAAAATAGATAGATTGCTATGGAATGACTTTTCTTACACAATATTTTCATTTTCATGAAAGAAAGAGAGAAGTGTGTTAAAAGCGACACGATACATTGACTCTTTTTTTAATTTATTGAAAAATATCAAATTGCTATAGGAATTCTGAATTTTTTAAATATTAGAAAAAAAATTTTAATTTTTTTATATAATCTAATTTATTTAAATCCTTTAAAAGCAGTGGTCATTTAAAATAGTGATTATGAAAAATGTTAAAAATATTTATCAAGATTAAATCTATAATTTTTTAATTATAACATATATTATAAAATTTAAATATTTCGAAAAAAGTAAAAAAATTATTATTATTATGTTATAAAAAAAATTATTATATTATATTTTTGTTATTGACAAATTTTTTTATATTTACAATTTAAAATTTTTACATAAATTATTTTGAAATAGTTAGATATTACAATATTATATACATACAAAATATTATTCATTAGAATATAGTATGTAGTATTCATTTGAATTCCCATAACAAATTGATACATATATTTAAATACAATAGAAAATTGCAACAAAATAATCTCCAATTATGATTTTCAAATTACATATAATAGCTATAAAGCAAGTGAAAATGTGAATTTCGAGTGCCTACAAGAAAATAAAAAAAAAAATGTTTATTTGTTTGCTAATTTTAAATTGCAGAGTAAAGATCATTCGTGTTGTAAAAATTTAATTACTGAACCTTCTCTTTTCATAAATGAACTCAAATAATAAGATTTTACAATATTGCAAAAGATAGATACATGCATTTTTTTTCGATCAAACGTGCATGAAAGCAAAAAATTTCATTATTTTAAGAAAATTCTTGGTGATGCTTTCATAATTGATTTTCATAATTTTGATACCAATTATTCGTGATAAAACAGAATTATTTACAGTATAATTTAGGCCAAAGCGAAAAATTGTGGACGTGTTTAACCCTTAACGTTCCAATAAATAAATAGATTAATTTATATTTAATTAAGAAAAAATTTTAGATCAGAAATAAAACTATAATTGATTTTATCAATAAGATTTTAATAATAAAATTGCAATTTATCTTTTTGTACAATTTTATTCTCTGAATCTGAAAAATTAAGATATTTTATTAAATATTTTCCATAATTTATAATCCATATTTATATATAAAATATAAAATTTATATATAAATTTGTAGTAAAAATATATATGATATTTAAAATGATTTAAAATTAAAAATTTATCTATAATAATTAATTATAATCAATATTACATAAATATTAAATACATTTACAAATTTTGTGTATAATATTAATATTAAATATTATTTCTCTTACAAATCATTTTTCTATCTCTTTATGAGCAATAAAATTTTCTTTCAAATTCATATCTATTTATAATTATAAATATTTTATATCTCTAAAAACTTGTTTTTTATTATTTTAAAATAAAAGAATTCGAAAAAAATATTTATATAAAAAACTTTAGCTAACATATTCTGGTAATAATTCTGGTAATAAAAATAAAATGATTTATTCGCACTATTTCATAAAAAACACTTTTTAATGAATATATATAATGAATATAAATATTTTTTATGATTAATCTTGTAAAAATACGCTAATGAGTATAAACAAATATTCTTGATTGCATTAGACAAATGAAAAAAATAAAAAAAAAATTAATGATAAAATTATTTATCGTTATTGCATAATAAAAATGGTCATTTTGATATCGACCAGCTACTCCTTTTATCTTAAAAATAAATAAGTCCTGATCATTTATTTTTAACTCTTAAACTGTCTCAAAACATACAATTATTGCGGGAACAAGAATGGATCGTTAAGGGTTTGATCAAGCTAGAAAATAAAACCAAAAAAAAATGTGAATAAAATAAATTAAAAAAAAATTAAAAAAAAAAAAAAGGAATGGAAAAAAAAGCACTTTGACGTTCTGATCTGCGCAACTACTTACGTTGGAAGTAATTATCACATCCTAGGAAGTCGCTATAAGGAACGAGCTATCCGGGCTATTTAAGTTTTACAAGAGTACTCCCGATTATCTCGTTCGGTTTCACTTTCACTTTCATTAATCTGCAATTAGTAAATTAATTTAAAAAACATTGATAGTTGCTTTTTTTTATCAACAGTTGCTTTTAGATCCAATTAACAAAATTATAAAGTTTTATTCATTTTCCCTTCCTTAATAATCAAAATTTTTAATGAATTTTATTGTTTTTATTTAAGTGTATGTCTGTGTATGTGTTATGTTGTTTTTAAGAAAATTCTTTGCTTTATAGTTAAACTGTTTGAATCAATCTCGTGTCGTTTCTTCATTTCGAGAGCGTATAACAAATACGCAAATGTACGCAACAAGAATACTGATGAATCCAGAGTATTTCATATACTCGTTTTATCGTTTTACATGTTTGTATTTTGTTGTTGTTGTTTTAATTTTTCTGTAGAATTCTACAATCGGAGTAATATGCTACTGCGACCCATTAATGAGACTCTAAGTATACCGTCGTATCAGGAAAAATGTTTTTTGTTAATTCTTTTCATTTCTTTTTCTCTCATTCTTTCCTTCGCAAAAAACAATCATAATTTATTAATTTTCCCAACGACGGATTTCATTCTATTCAATATACAATTCCTTAAATGGAATTACATTTGGTTTAAATTACAAAAAATACACAGAATGCGTAATACGTATAAAAACATGTCGTTTATGCGTCACATAATTATATTTAATCTATAGTATTTGTCGATTGTAAACAGACTTCGAAATGTGTATCATTGATCATAAAAATCAATAGAATGAATCGATGATGGCTTCCGGTTCAATAGAAGTTTAAGATAAAGTAATAAAAATCACAAACATAGTATTACCACTATACGATTATCAGAATAAAGTATTTATAAGAGAGATTGAGATATTTAAATATCATTTTGTTTATATGTTAAAAGAGCATGTTTGCAAATATTTCGAAGTCTATTTGCAGTAATCGATTCGGGTCAGATAATTTTATATTGAGTTATTAATGACCACCAGATTATACCTAGTTAATCGCTACTATGCTGTTAATATATCACGAGCTATAGTGATATTACACGTTAACTAAAAACATAATATCGCTATTATCTCTATGTGTTCTTGATTTATAATTCTATGTGCGTTATAATTCGTCGTTTTCTACATCGAAAAGCATGATCATGAAACGTGAAAAGGTCCCATTTGCTTTGCCAATGGAATACTTCTGTGTATGTTCAAAAGATAATTAGCTGCCTAATGTCTGGTATACATGGATTTCTATACCTCTGGTGAGTTTTGTGTAGTCGCATTGATATGATCCTGTAAACAAATTCTGAGATCCCGCTCGTCCAATTCACTTTCAGTGTCAACACTGAAACTTCTTACATTTTGTCCACCATGGCCTGTCCAACGTTGCTTCCAACTTTCTAGCCTCATGACCTGTAGCATACATTTAATATGCAATTATGTTTATAAGTTTTAAGAATGATTTCTATGAAAGTCTATATAGATTTTGTACATCATCATTTTAAAAAAAAATGTGCTTTACATTTTCTTCTCTAAAAATATTTTGACACTGTTCAATTACTTTCTAATTTGTTAGATAACTGTGCATTGTAGTTTTTAATTTTTAATTTATAATTTGCTATTCTATTAATTATAAAACTTTGTGTCAATGATTATTTTTAGGACAGTTTTTGTAAGATGATTTGCATTAGATACTAATTTTTAAAACTAATACATGATAGAAAAAAATTGTGCAATTTTTATGATAATATATAGTGCTTATAAAAGTTCTTTTCACATTTCTATTGTATTTAATTCTTCACTTAATTTTTTTAAAGTAATAAAAATTACCTAAAACTAAATAATGATTTTTAAAAGATGCAAGAAATGAATAAATATAAATAATCACAATGATTAACATGCATTTTATTCTAATATATTCAATAGTTTGTTAAAAAAAAATATATATATATATTATAATATTGTATATATATTATATACTATAATACTAAATCCTATTTAATTGTATATCGCTTATGTATCATTTCTATAATGTAACACTAATTTTTAAATATTAAATAATAATCGTTAATATATATTTCTAACTTACTGATTAGCATTAATTTTTTATTTTATATAAATCATAGTAAAATATTATGTTGAAAATTATATGGAGAGCATGCATAATCAATTTTTAACATTGATTAAGCAACACGTTAAATAAACCATAAGATTGATCATGAATATTCTTAAAGCATTTCTTGAATGTGCTTGGCATTTCTTTCTACCTTATTTACACCTGTGGTAAAATAAATAAAGAAAATGAAAATGAAGCATGCAAATAGTGATGTGCAAGTTGCAAAGCATATACATACCAAATGAGAATCAAACTGAGTGCTCTGCTACATGTACAATTGTAAGACAGCACAAGAAATCGAGGTAATGGGGGAACAAATGTGTAGGTATCAAAGAAAAGTCCAAAGACATTAGAATATCAAAATTCAAAGATAAAAACATTTGTTATTCTAATGTTTTTCTGAATCTCATAGCACTTGATTGTAGATTGAGATGAATTGTCCTGTAATTTAATATAGTATTTATAATATTTCATAAAATATACAGAACTATGTATATAAAAAGAAAATACAATTTTCTGATACACGTTGACATCATGCTAAGTACATGAAATGGAAGAAAATAATGCTTACGGATGGATAAAGACTTACTCGAGCCAGCGCCAAGGCTCAGTCTCCGGGCTGGTGATTGGCGTAGGGAACTAAGGAGACAGAGATAACACAGCAATAGAGGGTTAGTTTTACAAGAGCATTAGTTTTTTTGTGTTAGCGTTTGGTACCTTTACACAATAAGAATTCCGCTCATAATCCAAATCAAAATTCAATTATATAAAATCATCTTATCTTTCTATACGAATGATGTTTTTATTTGATAATTTTTTGTTAATAGTTATTATATATTTACACATTATTATATATTTTTGTCGAATGTGTAATTAATATAAAAAGTTAATATTAAAATAAATAAACGATATCTTTGAAGGTGTAAATAATATATTTTTCGTGTCTTTCTTTTTCTTTTTCTCTTTTTCTTCTTCTTCTTCTCCTCTCTCTCTTTCAATCAAACCAATTATTAACTCCGTGCTGTGCTAGCTCTCAATGTCTAATATAATGTTCTTGAAGCACAATTAGTATTATAAATGGCAAGCTTGATTTATTGTAAAATGATTTCAATAATATCTGTCTACACAAAACATTTCAAATATTAATATCAAAACATTGAAAATTTGGTACTTGCAATCATTATAATAATGTATTTATAATAAATTTTTATAATATTATATTTTACATAATTAATTTTTATAATTATTATCACGTGAATTTAATTTATTGCAAATTTTCAATGTAGAATAAAATTATATAACAACACATAGATATTATCATTACATAAATATCATTTTGTAAAGATACTTTCTTATATTATGATGCCCTCAAAGATATGTCTTAGTTCGATACAATGATGATTATAATATTTGCACAAGTGCAAAAAATAACATTAAATGAGCGGATACCGTAATCACGATTAAATTTAAAAGCAATTTGACATTTATTATTTATATTTTGCATTGCAGCATAAACATAACAAGCCGTGAATGCATCTTCGAAGCTTTAACATGTAAATAATTTCTTCTATGATTTAAAATTCACAATTATGTGAATACATAAAATTGGAAATAGAAATAATCATAGATGCAATTTTGATGATGAAAACGCGATGAATTCTTAATGTGTATAGGTACCTCTAAAGGAATGTTATTTGTTTAATATGAAAAGTGTGAAACGACTGTTCTCGTCGATAATAGCAATTAATTATTAATAATAAATGTAAAAAATATGTATCATTTTTTTAAATTCATTAATTTTAGAAATCTTTAAAAATGTTCATTGAAATATTATTATAATTATATTAATTAATAATATTAATGTGAATTCTTAAATAAAAATCGATAATTTTATTTTATTAATGTTGATAAACTTTGTTTCGATATTAAATTGAATTTACAAGAAGAAAAAAAACTTTCTGAAATAAAAATTATAATCAAATATTTTATAACACATGATTTCATCAATAAAAGAAAATTACTTATTAGCGTGACGATTAGCATTACATTGCAGTAAGAGGTGCAATTTGGTGCATAATTTTGTGAGTCACAATAACATAAAAGCATAAATTACACCTTTGCTTATATTACATATTATTATGATAGATATAATTTTGTGCACCCAACAAGTACAATTGAATTATATACATATGTTTCTCTAATATATCGTCCTTGTTAAAGGGAATTAGAATAGTTAGAATATTATTAATGGTACATTAAAAATTTAATTCTTTGCGAATATGAATAGTGCGATAGAAGGAACGATAGTAGTGTTAAATCTTCATTAATATGAATTTCAAGATGAAAAAAAAGTGAGCGTGAAAGTTTTTTACAAAATGGTGTTACAAAAATGTGCATTATCACAAATGTAGATGATTAAAAAAAATTGTTGTTATAATGAATTGTAAAAACTATTCAAAAATTTGAATTATCGTTTTTAAGATTAATGATTTTACGTAGAAAAATTCTATAAATATATCTAAAAAAAAACTATCATTTCTATGAAATTATAATTTATTACACAATCAAGAGAAATATATTAAAAATTGTAATTAGGAAAACTCAAATGTGTTAATGAATACGATATTTGTATAGAACTTATATAATTTGATGACTAGACATATGAATATGCGGGAATTAATATGAGGAACCTATAAGAGACTATCAATTCCATATCTCCAAATTATTCAAATACGTACGATAAATCTTGACATACATTACGTAATTCTACAAGCTTCGAAATTTACTAACTTGCAATCTAATAGCAAATCGAATAAAAATTGTATTTTTAAACTAAATACTGTAATATGATGATATTTCTACTCTCTTTATAAACTATATCTCCATTATTTCTACCATCGATACTTTGAATTTATATGATAATTAATATATTTCAAATAAAGAAATTTCAACTTTAATCGAAGAGATTTAACGAAAACCATTGACGACCATATAAACATATATAATTATTATTATATTTGTGCATAATTGAAAGCATTCGTAAACTATATTTCCAATACTAAAAAATATGCTCCTTTAAGATTTCATGATTGATTTTATTATTTATTTTGAGATTTAATACTAAACTTAATAATAATAACAACAAAAATATCATGAAAAAATTAATACATGCAAAATATATAATATATAATATATTAAAGCTTTTGATAATTTTTTTTCTCCATGAAAAATAAAAATGAATCTACTTTTTAAAAAAGTTTTTTCATTCACCTCTTACTGCTTAGTTTTTTTTTTTAATTCAATGCTTTCATTAATGCAACATGATACACAGTGAAAAATTTTCACTTACCTCAGCTTTTAATTCTGCAACTTTATCTTGTAATTCTCTGACTCGTTCACTGTCATCCAAGTTATTCCTAAGCTCACCTTCCGCATGCATCTCTTCATTCTATAAAAAATAAAAATAATTAATATATATTGATAATATATTCACATATAATATATCATAAAATATCAAATTAAAAAAAGAATTATACAATAAAAAATAGTACTTTTAATTCAAGGAGAGATATTTTTTGCGTGAGTTCTGCTACTTGTTGCGCATGCTCTGCATCACGTATCCTAGCCATCATAGCTTCATCCTTCATCTTTGATTCTAAATCGGAATATTTATGTTGTTGCTCCCGTAATTTAGTAGTAAGTTCTTTCTCTCTTGCTAAGGCAGCTTCTAATTCATCTTTAATGAATTTTCCACCTTCGTCTTGTCGACGTAATTGGTTCGTAGCAACTTGCACTTGAGTTTCAAGCTCCATGACTTTAAGTCTAAGCTCCTTTACTTCGGTTAAAGCTTCCATTTCTCGAATTCTGGTTGTCATTAAATCTTCTTCATATTTTTGCACTTCATGTCCTCGATTCTCCCAAAACAGAAGTTTCTTCGGCGTAGAATCACTTGCTGGTTGCGTTTGGGCGGAACGATGTTCTTGCAAATGCCTTTGCCAGGCACTGCTTAATTCCATTACTCTTTGCCGAAGATCCTAACAAATTTCTTATATTATGATAAACATATATATATTTTAAAATTAATAGAAAAACGAAAATTATTTTTTTAAATGTAAAAAATATATAGATTTCTAAAAAGAAAAATTACCTTTAAAGAAAGATTAGCCTCTGCTTCCCTTAGTTTCACTGCAATCAATTCTTCTTGTAAATGAGCAACAGAATTATCCGGTGTTGTTTCTCGTAACGTTTTTTTATCTTCTTCTAATTCTTGTATTCTTGCTCTAAGTTCTCTTATCGTCGCTTCATTCTCTGCCTCGTATAATCGAACCTTCACTAATTCTTCTTGTAAACATTGTATCATTTCTTCTTTTTGCGACAATGCTTCCTGTTTTAATAAAATTTCATCCAAAGAGGATTGCTTTGATGTCACATTTTCTTCTAGCAAAAGCGACAATGATCTCAATTCTTCATGAGCTTGTTCAAGTTGATGACTGGTTTCAAGATGAGTGTGTCGAAGTGCTGCTAATTCTCTTTGTACAACGAAAGCAGTTTCCTCCTCTTCTGCTCGGGAAACTTGACCCCTGACTAATCTATCTGCCAACTCTGCAGATTCAGCTTCCAGAAGTTCAGTTCTTTGTCTAAGTAACCTATTCTCGGCTCTAAGTCTACGAAGTTCAATCATCTCTTCTTGCTCTTTCATTTTCAACACGGTATAATCTTTCTCAAGTTTCTTCATTCTTTTTGGATTTATTTTCATACTATAAGCAAGATTCATGAGGCCATCAGGATCTTTTTCTGCTCTTCCAGGTAATTGTTTCTGAAAGAACTGCATAGAAAATAATCGATAAATATTAATGAAACAAAAAAAGAACCAACATATAAACAAAAAAAAAGCCACACATGTAAATAAAATTCTTGTTTAATTATTAAATCTATAATAGTTGATTTTTTTTTATAAATAGATATAATAAATTTTTTTTCTTATTTACAAGTAAGATGTAAAATTCTGATGATAAGAAATTACCTTCAACATGCCTTCCATGTCCAAGCTTAATAAATCTTCCTTGCCTAAATGTAACATGGCCAGTGCAACTTTGAAAATAATTTCCATGCCTTCAGAGAGAAACACGTCAAAAATGCGACAGGCCAGCGATAGACTGAGCGTTGTGGTAAAAAGCGTAAGAAACCAAGACGATGCGTACATCGATGTATGAAAACCTTGAGCCGCAAAATGAGCGTGTAACTCGGGATGCGTGTCAGCAACTAAATGTTCTAGCTGATACATGCACACCCCTAATTCAGCCATACTCGGCTTGAACATGTCTCGCAAACGATACTCTTGCATAAGCGCTACCAGTACAGCGAAAGCTTCTTCTTCTGGCATTTGCTGTAACAACAAATTGATATACCTATTTAATTTTTATCGGCGTAATTCATCCCATATTTTTCCTTTTTTTTTTTATCTTTCTTTAAAATTATTATTTTTATTCTTTCATATTCCTCTACCCCTACTCAAACATTAAGTGTACCTGCATAAGGAGTAATCCTACAATAAATCCCGAACCTTGACAGTATCCCACTTCACGATCATGAAGGCTATACGCTTTCATAACGTTAAATAAACTCTCCTGGCCAAGCCCATCTTTTTCTTTAAAAAAATCATGCTCAGGATACGTTCTGGCTATATCCCTTCTGATTATCCTTTCGCATGCGGACGTAGCCTTGATATATTCAGCAAATTGCTTTTTCACAGGAGAGTCATGAGCACCACTTAATAATTGCCAAACAATACCTCTGTAACGATGAATTAATTTACGAATCAATTTTTCCTCAATTGAAATGCTTATCTTTTTTTTTTCACTTTATTAATTATTTCATACTAATTTTTATTAAATTTAGGAATTTTAAAAATCATCCAAAATTACTAATGAATTTGATAAATTTAAGCTTTCTTCCAAAGCGGTTGATTACCTAAAATGATGAGGTATTCCTTGACGCACTAATTCTTTGACGAATTCTTTCCTCTTCTTCCAATGATAATCCCAATCAGCGACGATGTGACCCCATAGGGTCCATGTATTCTCTTCACCATCAGCTGAATTGTGGCGTCGGGGTGCAGCATCGCCATTTCCTCCGCTGCCCCCCGACGCCACAGACACTTGAGATGTGTCAGAACCTTTCCTACTGTGATTGCTTTGGAGCGAATTCAACGATTTTGCATCCGATTCGATAAGCCTGTTATTAATTAATATCAAACTCTTTAAGATAGATACTTCTCCTTAACTCAAATATATTTAAACATTTTTGAGTGGTAACATATGAGATGATTAGTTCGTGCTAACTGAAATAAAAAATTCGTCTTTAATAACAACGAAAATATTTTTAACAATTTGTCAGAAAATTTAAATTTTAATTGAATGAAGTTATGTTCTTAAATTTAATTAGTCAAAGAAAAATATATTCACTAAAAATAATTGCAATTTTGAGACATATAATGGACAAATCTGATAAGTGTTATAAAATGTGTAAAATTCTTGTTTATAAATATAATAAATTCAGTTCTTTTTTTTTTTATAGTTGTTAAAAAGTTTTAGAAAATTATATTAAAATTATTATTTTCATATGTTACAACCCAAGATTATAACAAGTATCCTTAATGCAAGAGTATATTCTTTCTTTAAAAGAAAGTGTGTGCTTAGTATCGTTTAATTTTCAAATATAAATAATGAGAAACACAAAATAAGCAGAACTGCAAAATTAATAAAAAAACATACTACTCAAAATAATTAAAAAATCTTTCTAATTCGAAATATGAATTAAATATTGAGAATGAGAAAAGTTTGTATGTGTAATATTATGAAACTTTCATTAGTAATAATATCACATAAGATATGTATTCAATTTCAATAAAACTTTATAGATAAAGAGAAAAGAAATATTTACACATGTTATTTCAATTACATAACTGAAGAAACATTAAACGATAAAACTCGCTTCACACATTAGCTTGCCAAGTATATAAAATTTTACATTATTCTATTGCATTCAACTTTTTTTCTCACGAATAAAATTATATTTATAAAGTTTCACAGAAATTGATAAATCTCTATACTATTTCCTGTTACAAACATATTCATCTCTCTCCATTAATATAATTGATATTTGACTATAATAATTACTTTTAACTAAATCTATTGAGAAACAAATAGTCCATATAATTGATACTCATGAAATAGAATTTCATTAATTCTCTCCATTATCTACGATTTCCTTTTCAAAAAATCGATTCAATCGTTAATAATTCATTTATTATTAATTAAAATTCGTTTTATAAATATATTATCACATGTATCATTTAACCTTTTCTCACTCGCAATCGTTTGATTTTGTAATTATATTGAGTTATGAATTAATATACATAATCGAACATAAAGCAGCGATATATATATATAATATTTAAAGCATAATTTGATTGCACGTGCAATGTCGATGATGATGAATATTAGTTAGCACATGACGATTCACCTATTGGCTTCCTCCAGCTTAGCTAATAGAGCCAGTTCGTCGGTGGGTATTTCCTGCAACGAGTTTATACTCTCTTCCTCAGATGAGATTGGCGGTGTGTTTGGAAGTATTTTGTTCGTTTGGCTGTTGTTCTGACCGGTCTGATGTACCGTGGTGCATAAACACAATACACTCATCACCTGCGGTCCATAACGCGATAATCCTAATTGTCCGGCAGCCTGCTTCTCTTGACCCCTACAAAACAATTATCGTTATATATCGTGGCATATCGTGACGTAATCAAATTGATATTAGGAACTTTTATAGTTTCGTGCTGATTATATAGGACTTCCTGATGCAAATTAATGCGAATAATATTTAATATTAAATAATATTAAATGATATTATTATGTATCAAAATAATTAATTAATTGGACCATGTCATAGTCAAAACATAAGATCAAGAGAAGGAATGCATTTATTAAATCTTTCATATAAAATTGAAAAATTATTCATATAAAAATATCAATGCAAAGTATATTAAATAGGATATATAAGTATATTAAATAAAATTATTTTAATAATTTTTATTTATATTATTTTTGCAAAGTTTCCAATTATAAAATTAATCATTTAATTATTTATAACCGATAAATAAACGCTCGATACAAAATGTATCGAGAGAAATTTTTAGAAATTTTAAAATCAGATAATATTCTTTATTCTATTGTTATTATAAAAATCTGAGATCCTAGGAGTAGAATACATTAAAATTATATTATAAAAAAAATATTTTATAAAAAAATTGTATGTATAAAACTGTTAATTTATTCCTATTTTCTCTTACGTAACAATTTACGTTTTATTACGCATTGCTGTTGAAAAAAAAGCATATACGAAATACGATTATATTTTCTATTTCAATTTAATTATTTCCTCACGCAATTGAGGGAAAATCGTTGATAACATGTACGCATTTATCTTTCATCTTTTTAACGTGGAAATTAATTAACGAAAAAAAAAAGAAAAGTGTAAAAATTTTATTAACGAATCTTTTTCAATATCAATTTACAATATATTTTCTTTCATTAATTCGTCATTAAATCAATCGTATAAGATCGATTCAAATGATAAATCGATCGATCTTCAATTAAAATTCGAATCATTCTTTAGCCCTTTTCTATGAATTTCATGGATAGTTCCAATAAATATTCGTTATCTGTCGAATCCAGAATTATCGAATTAATATTTTTTTTTATCGCTAAAAAATTTAATTTTGAAGAAAAAAAATTCTTATTTCAATTTGAATTAAAATTTTCTTTTTTAGAAGGAAGATTGGATATAAAAATTCAAAAATTATTATACGTAATTTTTGTTTTATAAATATTTTTTAAATGGGATTTGAGTATTTATTATTTATATATGAAAAAAAATATTGAAATACATGTTATACGTGATCTGTATTAACTTCTTATAGTAGAAACTTTTTTAATAATTATTTAAGTGAACATCTGCTATTCAATGTCACCACGTTAGATACAAAATAGAAACAAAATGTATGTAATTAACGATTAATATTAACAATTCTCGATGTGAAGGTTTGGGAACTAAAGACAAAGTTCAAATCTATACTGTATCGAGTATCACACAGGCATTATAAAAGAAGCATAATTTAAAACCTTATAATTATAGTAAAGTCATAGTTAAAATTTAAATTCGATAGAAGTACATCCGACCTTGTTCTATTTGATCCAATATATAATTATCCAATAGATCTTTAATATTGATTAATTTTTCATTTTCTCAAGTTGCTCATTTTCTATCGCGAAATAATTGTAAATATTATTAAATAATTGTACCTTTATGATTTTTTTTAATGATTAAATATATAACTTATATAACGTAGATAGAATCAATGAATTTTTTCGAGATTTTTGATATAGTATAATTTGTATAAACGTACAAAAGAAAGATGAAAGACTACATTTAATGATATAAAGGAAATGATATCTATTGTAAGATCAATATGACGATATTACTCGATATAACAAGGCAAGAATATTCATATATTCTACCTTGTTTTATTTCGTGTCCATCGCGCCGCCGCTGGTGCCAGCAAACCACGAAGAACCATCGAGAAATTTTCTCGTCACTCGAGTAACTTTTGATCGAAAATCGGATTCGAAATCAGCCTCCAGTCCTCTATTTGTTCAACTACTTTTAATTTTTCCGCAAAATGCTTGTCGCAACGTACAATTTTTCAACAATTTTTCAACAAGTGGAATCGTTTTACTTAATCGATTATCATTTAGTTGCATCTTTTTTTACGAATATCTTTCGAGATTGATCACAAAAATTTATCGATTAAAAATTCGAGACATTTTTGTACTGTCACATAAAAAAATCTTTAAAAATTTGTAAAACTAGGATTTCGATAAAATTAGAAAATTGTCACAACATTAGAAATTAAACTTTCTTTTCTTCGATTACTTTCCATTCCTGGATAAAATATGCATCTTAATGGAAATCAGGAAAGAAATCTTGCAAAATGACTCACTGCAACTGTCTAACGTTAATATTTTAGAACTTATCCTTGAAACCGAAGTTTCTCTAACCGATCGAAAAGTTTCACGGCTTCTTCTTCGATCAAGGTTATTTTTGTTGGACATCAGAATTTTTGTTGAAATATTTTAAGATATTCATTTATACGACTTATATCTTCATTATATTTATATCATTACATTAAACATTTTATTCAATATTTAATTTTTATTGCTAATAATTTTACCTATATTCTATATTATTATAATATTATATATCATTATTTTCTATTCTCAAAAAGGATAAACGAATGCTGTTAATTTTTGCCATTTCAAACTTTAATTTTCCACTTCGATTCGAAGCTAGTAGATGCACAATAGCAACAAAAAGAAAGCTGAGCAATTAGCACGTGCAAATGAATTAGCGAACGAATGCAAACATTCGTAACAATATGCCATACTGGCTACGAAATGGGATAATTTATGTTTCTTAGTTCTTTAAATTATCATGAAATTTCAACTGCATGACGAATTTCCGCATCTGCATATCGTTTAAATAATTCCTTAAGATGCAACTTTCTAATATTATTAAATTAAATTAAATATTATAATGTAATATATGCAATTACGTGATAAATTTATGATAAATATTTAAAAAAAATATTAAATATTAAATATTAAAAAATATGTAACAAACAAATAAATAATGATATTATAATTGAAAATTTAAAATGTAAAGATGGAAAGTTATAAATTCTACTAAAAAAAATATGCTTTAAAACTTTAAAACATATTCTTGGAAGTACTCATAACATCCTCTAGATAAATCGTATCGTTTATCATTCTCTGCTTATCTCATTTTTGAAAGTAAATATATTCGTATCATTTGTATAATAATTTATGAATAATATAATTAATAATAAATAATTTATGATGAATAAAAATAAATAATAGTTGACATAATTAACATATATGTTTTTATTTTGTAGTGAAATTAACGTAAATTAATATAATTTGTATCTTCTCTTCTTCTTAAATTACTTTATTCACTATAATTTCCATTTTTTCATTATATTTCGATAAATAAATATAAATGTAAAATTATTTTAATGAAAAATAAAGATGATGATAATAATAATAATAATAATAAAAATAGAAAAAGATAATAAAATGATTTTGATAATAAAATGAAATGTTTAATATAAATATAGAATAAAAGAAATATTTTGACAAATCTTTTATTAATCAAATTATATACAAACGAAGTGAATTATTGAATCAAATGTACAATTTTTTAAAATTTTTCGCCATTCAAAGAGTTATGGCTATAAATATAAAATTATGCTTTGATTCACTATTATATCATCAAAAATCCATATAAATCTTTTATCTTTACAAAAAAATTCTTATTAAATTAATTCTAAGTTCTGAGAATTCTAAGTTATTAGAATCTTTTTTACCAAGATAAAAAAAATCGCGTGATTACTGACTGATCATGTCCTAGCCATGTCCCATTTCGGTTCATTCATAAATGTATAATAAATTGTAGGTGTGTCCAAATTTTTGACATATCGCTGGTATGTTTCAAGATGTCACGCTCTACATTCGCGTTAGGAAATATATATACATAGTATAAGATTTTGATATAATAACAAATGATATTGTCCATAACTATTCAAAAGATAATAATATATAAATAACAAAAAAAGAAAAAATAAAAAAAAATATTAGTAGAAAATTGGAATTATTTTTTATTTATTTCTTAGAAAATATTTTAAAAACACTTAAAAAACTCAATTTATAGGATAACAGATAAAAAAAAAAAAAAGAAAAATATCAATATACGATCAAATTATATAAAACATTTGGCTTTAATATATCAATAGAAAAACAATATTTTATTTTTCATTGTTTGAAAATATATAAATTTAAACTGAATTTAATTTAAATCTAAAAAGATACATCGTTTATCAAAATTATTATACTGCAAAAATTCGTTCTCCAATTTTTCTGAGACTGTATCAAATTTAATCTTAATTTTAGAAAAAAAAATAATAAATAAATAAATAAAGAGAAACTTATAAATATAAATAAAGAGAATACTTCCACCAATTGATCTCAAAAGCTGTCTTTGTTTCAATTTGCAATTAATTCTGGTCCATTATATACCAAAGACCATTCCTAATCCAAATAAAAATGTTAATCAACGAACAATTAAATTACAATCCAAATTACAATTAAATAAATCATAAAATATTTTTCATATAAATTATCTCCTAACTTTTATTCAACCCAATTTCACTCTTTTAAAACACATTAATTTTAAATTCTTTTTCTTATTTATCTTCAAAATATTGTTTTTTTAATTTCCAATTACATTTATATAAATCAACACATCATCCTTCATTTCAACGAAAATCTTATTACATTTTAAATATTATTTATTTAATAAACATTTAACCAAAATCTAATACATAAATTCGAAAATCTTCTTCTCTTTAAAAACACAATTTAAAAA